GGATTTGGAGTTGTGTTTTCGGAGGGTGTACATCTCTTCATTATTTAATGTGTTTTGTGGTGGTGGTGATTTCTGTGTTTTTGAACAGTTCGGGGAGGGAGAGAGGAGGAGAGGATGGTGAAGAAGACGGGAGGTTTGGAGGTGGTAATGGAGAGGTGGATGAAGTTAGGTGAGGGCAGTCTCAGAGGTGGAGGAGAGAGAGTTGCTTGGAGTGCTGATGAAGTCGGAATTGGCATTATAACATTTCCAATGGAGAAAATATGGATAGAGTTGCGGGAGCTGGGAGGAGGAGAATACTTGTACAGGCTGTGGAGAGAGAGAGAGAGAGAATTTTGGGGCGAAAGTAACATTCTAGAAAATATTTGGGGTAAAACAAGAATATACTTGGTCTCAGAAACAACTATTCTCGCAAAAACGCGCGTCGTTAGTCACAGTCGCCATGACCTGTCTTCGTCATCATAGAGGGCACAAGACTCGCAGAAACTCTGCAAGGAGTGGGAAGACCGGACGGAGATCTCAGAATGATACGAGCGGTGATAGTGATGAACGATCAAGGCAAGCCTCGTCTCGTCAAATTTTACGACTATCAGGTCACTAGAATTTCTCTAACCCTACCCTCCGTTTGGTTCCCGCGAAAACGAAAGAAACTAAACCTAAAAATCTTGTTTTAACTTTTCGATTTCTTTTGTTTTTGTTGTTGATTCGGTTGTGATATGAATTGTAAGGTTAGCCTGTGGAGAAGCAGCAGGAGCTCATTCGTACCATATATGGAGGTCACCTTGAGACTTTTTCTCTCAGCTCATCTCTTGCACTGCAATTTTGTACTTCTTTACATGTTTTGTGGTATATAATGAGGGTGTTTCATTGGTCAACTTGTGGTTATACTTGCTTATAAATGTATATTACTTTCAGTTGCATAGCTCAATTTTTTTTGCCATGAATCTAGGGCTTGCATTGTGTCTCAATTAAGCACAAATTATGTTATCTAACTTTCTCATCTTATCATTCTGTCGGTTTTTATTCCGATGTTGATTTTGTTAATTGAGATTAGGGGAGTCATGTATTCTGCATTCTTCTTAATTGGAGTTTAAGTCTGATCTTGGAGTGTTGAGAGTATTTTTCACTTGTTTTTTTATTTGATTCAGGGAAAAAAAATTGTTATACAGGTAATTCATTGTTTTTTGTGGTCGAATGAATTTTTGTTACTTCCTTTTACTACAGTTCTATGCAGTAGAGCTGAGAATCTGAGCAACTTCATTCAGGCTGATTCGATTTTTGGACCAGTATGTTTGTTCTTCTCATTCGACCTTCCTCTTGAAATTCTTTCTTGTTCAGATATGAATTACGAAGCTCATAAATGGCAATGTTTAGTAAATGTGAGCTGTTTGAATAGCAACAGGAATTGTTTATAAAAAAATATATCATTTTTTACTACTGTGCGGCTATTGTTAAAGTCTGAATTTGTAATATATTTCCTTTCACTAAACACTACATCTTCGGTTAATCAATGCTCAAATTCTCTTTCTGGAAATTCAGAATGAGAATAGCTTTACCTATTCTTTGTATCTGTCTTAGAAAACCTGCTGTTGATCCTCCATTGACTTCTTTATGGCTGAGAATTGAGAAAGAGAAACTCACACTTTGACCCGTGATCACAGCTTCTATACACCCTTTTGTTACTTTGAAACATTTTTGTTGCTCTGTCAATTTTATATAATTGGAAAACACGGTAACATCTGATTTACAATACAACAAATGCTGTTTTCTTCTCTCATGTGCTCTATATTTATGTAAGTTATTGGCCAATAAGAGCGATAGCCGTGACATGTTATGCAAGAAACAATGGTCTGTTCTTCTTTTTACACTGAATTGAAAATTGATTTAGTTTGACCGCCCAATTTGAAAATTCTCTTCTTGGGAAGAACTACATTCCAATCAGGGCCTCCAAATTAGCTTCGTCTCTGATACTAAATTCGAATGATTTATGAGTCGACCTATAAATTGCTGACCTCTTTGGTATTGGTGGTGATTGTGTTTCACAATTTATTCTTAACATTCCTCGGTTTGAAGTGCTAGAGAACTTCACATTGGTATGGTCTTCACACTTGCAGGATGCTCGACTTGTATACAAGACATATGCCACACTGTATTTTGTCTTCATATTTGACAGCTCTGAAAATGAGCTTGCAATGCTAGATCTTGTGCAAGGTACATCAAAGCCTCATCTTCTAGTTAATCATTCAGTTGCTTAACCTGATGTAGCCTTTAATGTTAAATGCGTGGTTATAGCTATCAGTTCATTGACCCATTGCCATTAAAACAGCTGAAACAATAAAAATAAATATGGCTCAATCAGTGGTTTCTTTATGTTTCAAAATTTCTGCTTGTAGTCTAATATGTATATCCATAATATTCTAAGGTACTTAGTTTCTCAGATTGAATCAGACAAATGCTTCTGAATTTCAGTTTTCGTGGAGATATTGGACAAGTGCTTCAGTAATGTGTGTGAGCTTGACATAGTGTTCAACTTCAACAAGGTCAATATCTCTTTCTCTTTCTTCTGAAGTTAAATTAGTAGGGGCATGCATTAACAAACTTGTAATGGAGGGGGATTTAATGTGGAATCATTAGGAGTTCCTTCAGACTGAAATCCCATGGTAATATTCCATTAGATAATCCCAGTTTTTTTATGTTGTGACAGAAGTAGATAGAAGGGCCAATTAACCAAAGATGATTAACTGATTTGTAATTTTACAAAGCTTACTATGAGTTTGCTAGATCAAAGTTAGTTTAAGGTAGCTGTCAATGATGAATATCACACGTTAACTTCTTCACTGTGGAAAGAATAAGGTTGAACACCTTTAATCTTGTCTCTATTGAGCTTAGTTGGGCACCAAACTCTATTCTAGGTCCAAGCAAGGTATAGTGATTTCACTACGCACTCCTGTGGTACATCCACATACTGCACCAGTTGCAATGGTGGTGTTTTTAAGCTTTACACCAACTCTGATGAGTTGATAGTTTTTTTTTGTCCCAGTGTTAGCCGAGTGCTTTTAGTCCAATTAACAGGTCTTTACTAGGAATTCTGGTTTGATGACTTCCATACATGCAGTGTAGGCATATGTGCTTGTCAGATCGACGGGTTTTTCCCAAACATTACAGGAACTTCTCTCTAGTTCGATTACTTCTATGCATATACACATGCATGTTTTCTCAAAAAGTCGAGGACCTTTCTGTCTAGTTCGACAATTTCAATTCATATGGGTAAGCCTTTGATTCGTCTGGTAATTGATTTTGCAGGTGCATACTATATTAGATGAGATCATTTTGGGAGGTCAAGTTCTTGAGACAAGTTCTTCAGAAGTTGTGAAAGCAGTTGAAGAAATCTCAAAGTGCCCATCTCTCTCTCTCCCCCCACCCAAAACGAAGGGGTTTTTCGATTGATGCCAACTACTTCCTTTGTGCAGGTTGGACAGGGCCTCAAATGGAAGCATGCTTGTGCCAAAATCTATTTCTGGCTGGACGAGTCGATAGCACATTATTTCCCTAGTAAGATCTTGGAATTGTAATATTTTGTTAGTCAACTTACAAGGATTCACCTCCTTTACTCAGAATTGGTTTGAAATGATATGGACTTCTGAATTACCAGAACTCTCCAGTTACTGGAATGCACCTAAGATTAGGGTATATCCCCACACAAGTGATGTTCTTGATTTCTAGAGCTTTGTAAGGCACAAATGTTGCTTCTGAACCAGAGATCATCTTATTCCTGCATGCACAAAGGGCCACCAATTGGTTTTGCCACCGCAAGAAGCATACTGGAATAATGTAAATGACATCTTCCTGAAAATCATTTCAGCCCCTACGAACTTACTCTACATACTACATACATGACAGAGCGTAATAACTCTTGCATATTTCTCTATACCTGTACATATATGCATATAAACACTTATGTCTTGCTTTAGTTGCTGCAACAAATGAAAGATGTGTAAAGGAAACTTGTTTATTTACTGAATATTCTACATTCACTTCATGTTTGTTAACACATCTATTTATGGCCTTGAATCTGTAGACTTATTCTGTATGCTTTTTTGTGGCTAGTATGCTCCATTAAAAAATTCCTATTATTGTCAAATGCAATGAGTAGTTGGAACTGTGCAAGCGGCAAACCCATTGCCACTTATGGTAGCTGACCATAAAGACAGCGACTGAGCCAAAAATAATGCTTGGTGCATACGTCTGGTTGCCTGACTGTTCATTTTGTTGCTGTAGGGTTGTGAAGGATGGTAGTAAAAGTCAATGGAAGGTGCGTCAAAGCTGAAAAAAAAAATGAGCAACAATGGTTTGGATGCAGTTGTAGAACATTCTGTTGCAGCTCATAATTAGTATCTGGTAGGTCTTGAAATTCGGTTTGTCCTGCAGTCACATGAAGTTTCAGAAAACCAGGATGCTGGTAATTTCACATATCGTTGGAGAAAAAATTGCTATTTGTTTTTTGGAGAGTGTAAAGAAGTTCATAAAAGCTCTTTGTATTTCTGATTCTCTCAATTTAGACAAAGACTGGTAATCAGATGAGGGCAATCAGTTCCCCATGAGTTGACAGTAATACAGTTTGAATTTTCTTCTAAGCAACAACGATAACATACGGTCTTGTTTTCTCTCTATTGGGTCTGTTTGCTTAAATTTGTATTTTTTAGAAGCTTTGGAGTAAAATAAGGCATGTCTGTTTGGACATTAACTTTTTTTACCAACTTATGCAGTAATTTGTTAGACCCGAAAAGATATATTTAGATTGATTCAAGAAGTTAATTTTATGAATTTTTCTATTGATTTTTTAGATTTTAACTCTGATTTTTTTGCGAAATATTTCAAACCACAACTTATCACCTACAAAAAACAGTTTCAAGTAGGCCCGTTGTGTAAATTTCTTGGTTCTTCCACTTTTTTGGTGCCCGGAGCACTCTGGGAAAGTTTTCAATTGCCTCTGCCACCTTCATTCTGGAGGTCTTTTGGGTAATGTTGATTCTAAACCTTTCAAAGTATGCTTGCTTATAGGTCTTCAATGCTACTAGGTCTCTTGCTAAGCAGTTTAGAGAGAAGGAGATGAGAGTGAGCCTTAGTCCTAACTCTATCCGAAACTTGCAAAACTGTGAAACAATTCAGAACAGAAAAAATCACTTATTTTTTTTCCCTCCCAATTTGGAAGAGGTTTGGACCACTACAATATACATTCCACAACAGGACCAGCAATAAAGATCAATTACAGAAAAATTGCAGCTTGTTTTTTTTTTTTTTAATTTAAACAAGCCATCAAACAAATAAGAAACAAGAACCACCACTGGCAATTCTCTTCTGTCTCTGTTTCCATGAAGTCCTAAAATCAAAAACCCATAAACAATTGGGCATCGCCGACAAGAATCTCCTCCACATTTCAGTATCCATTCCTCTTCAGTGGGCCTGTCGAACACACCAAGAACGAACAAAAAATGGCTCTGCCACCCCAGAACTCCAAAATGGAGGAGAATATACAGGGGCACCAACAAGCAAGGCACTCAAATAGGAAGCCTGCTGTGTTATTAACAAAAATCAAGAATAATCAACCTCTTTTCTAGTCCTCATTTGCCCTCTTCATCATGCTCATCCAGCGGTTCGGGGAAAATCTCCTTGGACTGCCATCGAGTCGAGGATGAATGGCCACCGCCTTCACCATTTTGACCACTTTCTTGAGAACCCGTGGTTCCTGACCGTATAAAGCTAATCCCACCTTCCGCTTTGTTAGTCGGGGCTTCAGAAACGGCCGCTACATCTGATGAGCTTTGACGCCAGCTACCAAACAGAGCAGCATTCCAAGACCCTCTAGAGGAAGTAGTTCTCAGCCTTGCAGAACTAGTGTGTTCTTCCCTTACTACTTTCAATGGATTTTCTAAAGCTTTAAGGATAAATCTCATAAGGGGCCGCCTTGAAGGCTTGGGATTGAGGCAAGACCTGGCAACAACAGCGATGGCCCAAACTTCCTCTAATAAATCTTCATATATGACTAGAGATGGGTCAACAATATTTGTCACGAGTTCCTTGTCATATATACTAATGTAGGGTAGCGTCGCTTCCAACCAATCCTTCATGGTGGCATCACTGGATGCACTTATACCCAGCTTGCCTGTTACCAGCTCGAGCAACACCTTCCCAAAGCAGTAAACATCATAGGCACATGCCGCAGTAGGTGTACCTGTCCATTTCCAAATGAGAAAGAAAATTTAGAAACAACAAGAACATTGAAGTAAGTTCTAAATTTAGGGGTCTAAGTGATTTAAATACTTTCAACCTTCAAACTTCATGGTCAGCCGCGGCTGGATCTCAATTGGTCAGAATTAACAAATGAGTTTATAACCGTTTTTTGTGTCAACCAATAACGGAAAACCAAATAAAAAATGGGGGAGAGCTCATCAATTCACAAAAGTAGCAAAAGCACTGAGGTCCAAAGTCCAAAACAAAAACAGGACAAGCAATTTGAGTATAACAACATACAAAGGTGAATTTACCCCCCAAAACAATTACAGCTACAACTTGCCATAATTCCAATGGGAAATCTCTTAACCATCTGCTCTTTCCCCTAAATATGTTCAATGAAAGAATTACACTTAGCACATTGCCCCTCCCCCTCTACTAACCCAAATGGTTTCATTTTGTCTCACCAGTTAACATCCATTATGTTTTGAATGGGAAATTACCATAATGGATGTCGGTTGTTGGAGCAAAGTGAAAATCATTTGATTAGTTAAGTGGGCAATGTGAGAACATTGACAGTAAGGGGAAAACTTGTATTGGTTTTTGGAGTCTCTCATGCAATACAGAAGTTTTTTTGCCCTCCAACAGTGGCAAGCGGCTCTATGTACCAAACTTACTTTGTCCTTCCAGTAATTTAATCAATGACAATATATTAAGATGGAAAAAGCAACAGGTCGATCTGTTGAAGAATATAAGGCAGTTCACCATAAATAGGCTTTCAAGTAAGAACCATAAAAAAGGTCAAAACAGACAATCTATAAGCATGAGCTTATATAAAACAGGGTGCACCATAAGGTCCCATGCCAACAAGACACAGTATCTGTATTACAGAAACAAGTAACCTCATAGATCCTGATTCTCTATAGCTATAGGGGTAGCACTGACAACGAAGGCTTCCCAGTGATATTGGTTGCTTAATTACATGCTATCTTGTTTTTAAGTGCTAGTATGTGCAGAGTAAAAGGCTACATGAGGTCCAATAAGTCACCTATTATTGGCAGACAAGAAAAAACCAATGGCAAATTAAAATAACCAAATTGCACTTACCAGAAGACCCTTGTTCAGATGTCCTGCACATAAGGAAGAGAAGATTTTTGTTACAACCTCAATTCAAGCAACATAAACATGTGAAAAATCAGTAACTTTATTTAAAGTTAAAATAGATATCTTCACTCCGTTATTTTAATGTTGATAAAGTTTTGATGACTAAATACTTAATAGAGCAAAAGTACGCACAGAACAAATAGACACCTATAAGTTGCAGGATAATACTTCCAATTTGAGAACATCATAATGACATCTGCCCTAGCTTCAATTCAATTCCATATAAAGAAAAGTCATTCCAATAAATGAAGTTGTTGATGCCCGAAAATGAAGTTGTCAATTCTAACAAATAATAAATTAATAAATGCTCAATCCATATTGGCGAGCAACAATCTGCACCAAGTCACCTTTATCGTACATTTGTCAGACAAGGTAAATAACAAATGACTCCAAAATCCAAATCTAGTATGCTGCCATTTAATGTAGTTTTCACCGTGACAAGAACGTTTGAAGGATGATTCCAAACTAACACTCATTCGCACTTGCACATTAAATGCATCTTTCAAAAATGTTGAACTGCCCTTTATTTGAAACAATCAGATCCTAAATTATAAGTAACATATCTTCAAGTTCGCAGTTTCTGTGCTACATAATACTTGCACATTCTCTATCTGCTCTCTCAATACTTTCCATCATCCTCCATATTTGAAGGCATTTTTGCCAGCTCTTACAGTCTCAGTTTGCAGCTGTAAGTTTCTGATTGAGCAATATTTTTAAGTATGGCTCTTTTGAAAGCAAGAATAACACGGAATAATAAACCATGTCACAATTTTAGAGTTTTTATTTTAAACAGACAACCAAAAGGAACCCCTTCTAGGACTTTGAAAGCATGGTCAAAGTCTGAAAAATCTATAAGAAACGTGTTTTCCACAGTTTATGAATCTCAGCAAAACTGAGGAATACTTACTGTGGTAACCGCAGCAACCTGGTAATTCTGTTTTGATGAGTGTCCCCTTCTTGTGCACAGACCTCACTTAGGCTCCCTAACCGCACTTCAAATTTATCATCAAGAAGTATGCTGCTGGCTTGAACATCTCTTCAGTAACCAAAAAAATGCACTCTTAGTACTTGGAAAACTAGGCATCAATATTTCTAAAGCAAGCTAGAGAAGAGTTAGAGCCCAGAGAAGACATCAATAAAATTCCAATATTGTAGATACATTGGCTGGCTCAAATTGTTTGATTATAGAAATAAACTGTTCTTAACTCTCCCTCTCTGGCTAGAGGAAGGGTTTACAATTAAATCAAAGTTTGATACATGCACCACCTACCTTATACCTCTTAAATGACCCTTAAGGGGGGTGGAGGAAGAAGAATATACATTGAGTGGATCTAAACAAGCCTTTCTGGTGTTGTGCCAAATTACGAAGCAGGCAACAAGGTCTACTCATATACCCAACTACATAACCCAACCCTCTAACTTCCTCAAGTTCAAAATGCCTAATTGATGAAAAAACTCACTACATTTCCTAAACATAAGTACAATCGACCTAACGTCAATTAAAATACATCAATAAGGAAGAAACAACAGAAAAAATTACGAAGATAAAAAGTCATCAATTTATTCCCATGTTTTTCTGACCTCATGAATTTCTCTGCATCTCTATATATTTTCCTAAGACCACTTTTCATTACTTTTTAGTAACTCCAAATTTCACAATCATCTCCACAGAAATTGAAACCGCAACCAAGAAACTTTTGTTTTCTTTAGAAAGTCCCATAGCTGTGAGGCTTAACAGACAAAGAAAATGGTGAATACTTTTCCACTAGTTGGGTAGAAGGTGACGACACGGCTACACGAGTGGTTAAAAACTGTCAACAAAAAGTGGAAACTCTCTTTGGATTCCTGAACTGAAGATTCAGGTAAAAATTGATTCCTTTAGGCGAGCAGTTCAAGATAATATAACAGAGTAACCTCAGTAAAACCCATATCAAAGAATTAGAAATAGTTGGCTAGAATATGAATTCCGCCGAAAAATATGTTTCAGAATTAATAAAACATAATAGAACAAAATAAGAGGAGAGAACACTTTAAGGAAAGATGCTTCCAAGGTAATTGGAGCATTTCATAAATCTAGCAGGTGGAAAGAATGCTTAAATAAATTTGGGAACCACATAAAATCTTTCCTTCCATGTGTAGTGACAAAACCTAAACTTTAATTCCTTGAACACTTGTCATTTTATACTTCTTTCGCATACCAAAATTTGTATATCTTAACACCCAAAGTTTTCAGTTACGTGTGAGTTTCCAAGAAGTGTTGGTAGCATGTCCAACAAATCTGAAATGTTGTCAGACGTCAAGGATAGGGCTTCTTTGAGTCCCTGTGCTTCTCAGCTCATCCCAAGTTAACAGCC